AGCGCTTCTTTTGCTAATATCTTTGATTTTCTTTTCCAATGATGGGTGGAAGGGCTTGCTTTATTATTTGGATGAGTGCCTCATTGATTTAGTTAAATTTTTTTTTTTAATACCGAATTCGAAATATTTCTCCGTACTGTGATCGGTGCAGTGTTCATCGCAATGCTGCTTACTTTCGACCATGCCTTAAGATTGATTCTCTATCTTATAAACGAACTTTCTTCGGGCTTTTTGGAGATTTTGAATTTGCTCACATGTTACTCTTTTGGCTTTAATAGTAAGAACATGTATTAGTCGGATTCTGAATATTTGCTATCTGCAGGTGCCCTAAGTGCGTTGAATTAAAGCTTCCTCGTGAAGGCGCTGCTTTCTGGTTCGTATTTTTATTGCAGTTCCGAATGAAATTTTTCTTTAACACTCTGGATTGTTTTGGAGCTTCAAATTTGTGTGGAAATTGAAGCTGGATAGAATGCGTATGCATTTGGCAGTAGTATATATAGTACCAAATTGCACAATTTTGATTTTAGATATCGTTGGAAACTCGTTGAATTAGAAATTGAAAAATTATACACGCTCTTTGCTGGCTGTGGGAAGGTTTAAGATAGAAGAATTGATGTATATGATATGATTTTTCGGTATTTATTTTAATAATTTCTATGCTTCTTTGGTCCAGTGTTTCAATTTAGGGAAGCTTTTAAAACTCGTCGCTGATCTTATTAGATTGTATAATATAGAAACAGCTGTATTTAATCTTCTATAACAACTTTGGTTTCATTTTTTTTGTCTGGTTTATTTTTTATTCTCTCCGTCAAATCATTTCGTTTTTTTTTTCTACAATCTGGTTTGCTTTTTTTATTTCTCTCTCTAAAATTGCGTTCGGAAGATTTCTCATGGCAAGGTGCAACCCTCTTTGGTTTTTTGGTACTCGCTCGAAAGCGATTACACAATTGTATTTGTAGGTGCGAGTTCTGTTGGATGAAGACTTCATACGCCATAACTGCATTAAATATCCTGGCGAAATGCTTTAAATATGCTGGCTAAATCTGTGGTTCCAATGGCAAATAAGGTGACGATCTTGAAACAGGGATATGTTGAATATCACGACAACACAATCCACAAAACCCTGTTTCAGGATCTCCGTCTTATTTGCTGTAACCACAGATTTCGCCAGTATATTTAACGCAGTTATGGTGTAAGAAGTCTTCATCCGACAGAATTCACACCCGTACAGTTGCGCAATCGCTTTCGAGCAAGTACCAAGAAGACGACAAGGGTTGAACCTTGCCATGAGAAATATTGCAAACGCCATTTTAGAGAGAGAAATGAAAAAAAGCAAACCAGAAAAAAAAAAAGGAAACTGTTAATTGGGCTTTTATTTCTTGTGGACCTGATCTTGGTTGTTGAGGTTAACAGCTTCTCGTCATGAATACCATTTTTTTGTTCCGTGCAGTTCTCAAGATTGTTTCAAGGAATCATGGGGTTCTCATAAATCTGTTCACTTGAAGGCCAAGTTATCTTCCCCTGCACCTGAAAATGCCGGTGAACAAAATTCAGGCTTGTCCAATGATCCTTGGCTCTACTGCTTGAGGAAAGGACAGTCACGTACATCGAAGCTTCCAAATTTTGACTGGACTGGGTATTATTTTTTTGCCGTATTTGATTTTCCGTTCTATCTGATGTTGACCTTGTTACTTCCATAATTTGTACAATTTTCCATACGAGTGGAAGCCCAACAAATTTTCCCCAGCAAATCTGATTTTCATACTATTTATTTTACTCGTGATTTCTTTATGCTTACTCTTGGTGCATTTTCAGATCTTTACGACCATATCCAATATCGAAAAAACGTCTAGTACCTGCTCACATTGAACAACCTGATTGGGCAATTGATGTAAGTAGCTCTGATCTTAGGCTTCTAATATTTTCTTAGGATGCCTTTGTCTATGAGAGTACGATGAATATTTTATCAGAACACAATCTTTGTCAATGAGAATAGATAATTGTAATTAGCTTTCCTGCATATTTGAGCTGCACTAACATCTCTTTACGTCAAACTACTTTAGGGGACTCCAAAAATTGAGCCCAGCAGTGATTTTCAACATGTTGTTGAGGTAATCTTCGATTATGAGCTAACAATAATTCTACTTATTATTTGTTGAAGGATATGTGACTGAATGCAATTCCTTTACACAATGCACCTCTTTTTTGTTTTTTTGTAGATCAAGACTCCTGATCAAATTGAGAAAATGCGAGAAACCTGTCGAGTAAGTCTCTTTATTCTTTATGTATGTATGTATGTACGTATGTATCTATGTAATAAGTTATGTCATTACATGTTTGTTACAACAAAAAAGTTCATGATCAAATGATGGGCATGATTTAGAGTTTGAACAGCGGCAGCAGTTGACTTTTATTCGTATTGCCTTCAGATAGGAAGGGAAGTACTGGATGCTGCTGCCCGTGTCGTACGACCTGGAATCACTACCGATGAAATTGATGCTGTTGTTCATGATGCAACAATAGCTGCTGGTATGATAAATAATAGAAACTTTTATCGGTACTCAGCTTTGTATTCTTAGAAATAAATATAGAAACGCACTCTATTTGTCGTTACGAGTACTGGTCATCATGGCTTCATTTCTCAATGCAGGAGGATATCCATCTCCATTAAATTATCATTTTTTTCCGAAGTCTTGCTGCACGTAGGTATTTCTTAACTGGGAAGTCCTTTTTTTCTTCGCTCTTTGCATTGTAGTCCCTAAACACGTAGAGAAATTTATTCTTAAATTTATCAGGTCGGTAAATGAAGTAATCTGTCATGGGATTCCAGATGCAAGGTACAATAACAAAATTCATAAATTTCCCAAAAGAATCGTCGTCACTCATCCTTGTACTAGGCAACGTCTGACCTCGTATGTAATAATTTTTTTACCTTATCAGGAAATTGGAGGATGGGGATATTGTAAATATTGATGTTACTGTTTGCTATAAAGGAGTACATGGTAAGGAAATTTAATGCCAAGTCAAGGTTTTAGTTGTTTCTTTTTTCTTTTAAATGTTTCGATTCGGAAATATTGTTTGTTATCTCCTCATGCAGGCGACTTGAATGAAACATTCTTCGTTGGTAATGTCGATGAAGCATCTAAACGACTGGTTCAGTGTACATACGAATGCTTGGAGAAAGCGATAGCAATTGGTCAGTATTTCGACTTGTACTTTGTTTCGTTTGTTGTATATTAACTCTAATCTCACCTCTTTGCATGCTTGGTTCGATCCTGCTTTCTTCAGTTAAACCTGGAGTGCGATTCAGGGAGATTGGAGAGATTATTAATCGGCATGCTTCTATGTCCGGATTGTCTGTGGTAAAATATTTTGCCTCTATGTATATTTTGCTTCAAGATTTGCGATACTCGTATTTATTTTGTATCTTGCTATTAGGTGAGATCTTATTGTGGTCATGGTATTGGAGAGCTCTTCCATTGTGCACCAAATATACCTCACTATGCCAGTATCCTTTCGACTTTCGACTGGGTTAAAATCAAATGCCCGTTTTTTATTTTATTTTTTTAATTCATTTTTGCATACAAAGATCTTCGTATTATCTTCGTAGTGCCTTAACCGTAAGCAGGAAATAAAGCTGTTGGAGTGATGAAGGCAGGCCAGACATTTACCATTGAACCTATGATTAATGCTGGTAATTTTTCTCTTAAAAATTAAAATGGTGCTGTGTCTGAAGCTGTATATTTGTTTGAGTCCGATTTCCTAAAACGACTTTCATGATTGAAAATAAAATTAAAAAAAGTATAAACAAATAAATAAATAAAATATACAAAAAATGACTTCCGTGATAGGTGTTTGGCGTGATCGAATGTGGCCTGATGGATGGACTGCTGTAACTGCCGACGGCAAACGCAGTGCCCAGTTTGAGCACACACTTCTGGTAATTTCTTTTATTTTATTTTATTTTATTGCAATAAAACATAATTATGCAAGTAAACGGTCTTCTTGATATTTGATATGCAAATTCTAAGTTTGTAATAAAATAATCTGTAACAGAATATTGAAAAATCGAGATCCTTCAATTTTTAACCACACAATTATTTATGCAGGTGACTGATACAGGAGTTGAAGTTCTTACAGCCCGTTTGCCCTCTTCCCCAAACGTGTTTCCTTGGCTAAAATCATAAGTATGCTAATTCGATCAAGGGAATCCTTTTACCATCGTTTTCGAACTGCTTGATGAGTTTTTAATGATTGTTGCCCATTTGTCGACCGTGGCAAAATTGTTGTATTCCTATATTTTTTTCCTTCAAATTTTGAGTTAATTTTTATTTATGTTTGTTATAAAACGTTTGTAAAATTATTTATCAGAGGAGTTTTGTGGATTGCACAATGATTAATTGGACTTTGTTACTTGTTAAGGAAATAAAACGATTAGTTTCTATCGAAATTATTCTCGAAAATATGGTAATTAAAATTAAATCGACGGGATCCCACTATCTAATTATGACTAAAACAATTCACATCCCGTTTAAATTAAAAGGTAAAATCTACATTTTCTATTAAATTCTCCTAGATTTTGCTAGTGTTTTTCATCTTCAAATTCACCTATTTTGCTAGTGTTTTACACATATATATATATATATATATATATATATATATATATATATATATATATATATATATATATATATATATATGTGTAAAAATATTATGATATATATACATATACGTGAGAGAGAGAGAGTTGATAATGATGAGGTACAACAGCGCCGTGAAGACATTGACAGCAGCCTTGAGCATGGTGGTGGTGGTGGTGATGGCTGTATCCGCCACCGCCACGGTAGCACCACCACCGGAGAGTGGCGGTGGAGTGGCGCCTGAGGGTATTGTTCCGAACAATGACCAAAGAAACGCGTGCTTTCTGGTGTGCCTCAAAGACTATTTTTGTGTATGCACTATGAGTGACCGTAATCCGAAAGTCGATTGCTGTGCAGGATATTGTTGGACGAAATGCGGCGCAAAAAATGAATGCGGAGATCTTCCATGGAAGCCTTGCACTGCTTAATTAATTAACTAATTATTTAATTATTTAATCGAAACTTGCTTATTTGGAATTGAATAATCGATCTCGTAGTCCGCCTTTTTCGATGTAGATTGTCCACAAAAAATGAAATAGAGAACTTCTGCTCAAGATTTTTCTACGTTTCCTTGTGTTATTTACTTATTTATCTTCAAATTAATGATTTATTAGAATTCTAAAGTGACAAATAATTTTGAAACTAAAAAAGAAAAAAATCCAATGCAACAAATAATATGGGAATTAATTAATTATTTATAACCCATTAATGATGACTTAAACCTTATTTAATTTGACTGTAGCCACCGCAGCATCGCAACCGAAGACGAGAAAGGCGGAATAGACGAATGTTACGTGCAGTGCATGAACGACAATTAATGCGTTTGCAATTATGCGAATGATCCGATTGCGCGGCGCAGTTGCTGTACACGATATTGCGTAACCGAATGTGTGACACAAGACAACTGCGCAGATCTTCCGAAGAAGCCCTGCCAGTAATTTTTAGATTAATTAATCCAACTTAATACTTATTTATATTGAATTATTAATAATATATAGCCCAGAAAAATAATTAAATTAAGATCTTATACATGTTTCAATTTCTTTGTGTCATTTTTCACTAATTTGAAGACCTTGAAAAAGAATTATGCATGTATGCATGCATACACAATTACAAAGTCTCGTTTTGTTGGTAAGATTAGTCGTGATTGATTAAATGATTAGTAGACTCTATTTGATGTTTGATTAGTTCAATAACATTTCACGATCGATTTGTATGCAGTTGTGGAGAATGAACATTTTTTTATCTTGTTTGATCGAGAAATTGTGCATCGTCGATACTTCTGTAGATCAACTACACAATATAATGAAATCAATGTACTATGATTTACGATAAGCAACTCCGTTTGCTCAATCACGATCGAGGCCTTCGTGTCAAACAGAAACACGTAGGCGAATTGTTCTCCAATTGTTCATGCCAAAAAAGTTAAAGAAGGATTTTAAGACCGATTTAACGATTCTTCTTCCAATCATTGCTAAAGCCGTAATTTTATGTTCGAGATTGTTACATATAAATTAAAAAGGTAAGTGGTAGAGCCATAATTTTATTTTTGAGATTGTCAAATATATACATAATAAAAAGGTTTTCTAAGAAGGACGATAATAATATAATACTCGAAAAATAACGAATTTTTATATAGAATAAAAAATAAAAATAAAATAAATAAAATAAAATGTGTGTGATTTTTTAAATGTGTTATGGAAAGAAGACTTAATTCAGATTGCTGATTATATACTAATGTAATCTAATTAATAAAATATTTTCCATCTTTGCAGATTATATTATATATAATATATATATCTATATATATAATTATATGTATATATGTGAGAGATGAAATAATAGAGAAAAATGAGGTCTATGATGAAGATGACAGTGACAGCTTTGAGCGTGCTGATGCTGGTGGCCGTATACACCGCCTCCGCCGCAGCACCACCGCCTAAGAGTGGCGGCGGGGAGGTGGCGCGTGTTGTTCACGAGAAGGTGGAAAGAGACGCGTGCTATCTGCTGTGCGTGAATGGCTATTTATGCCTTTGCAATTTGAGTGACGCCGATCAGCGCGTGAATTGCTGTGCAAATTATTGCGCGAGTAAGTGTGGTGGCGGAAATGAATGTGGAGATGTTCCAAAGAAGCCTAATTGCCCCCCTAAGTAGATTAATTTCAAATTATTTTTTTGCTAATTTGAAGAAATTGACAAATAATTAGTGAATCCATATTCTACTAAGAACATTAATTAAATAAATATTAGACTTTATTTGATTTTATTAGTTCAATAACATTTCACGATCGATCTGCAGTTTTGAATTCTTATCTTGTTTTATCAAGATCGCGCATTGTCGATACTTCTATAGACCAACTACACAATATAATTAGGGATGTGACTAGGCTGGGTCGATGAATTACCAGCCTGAAAACCGACCTATCCGACAAATCAATTTTGCTCTAATTGAAAATCGTATC